GGGAGCGGATGAGAAGTGGGAGAGCTGGGTAACAGGGTACTCGCCAAAATAAACTCATTCCGTTTCTGTTCTTGACATTTTCGAGTCCCTGCTTGTTTTGATTTGTTTTATTTTCAAACCATGAAAAGTAATTGAGAAAAAAAAGAAAAAAAGCAAAAACAAAGGCAAAAAAATCAACAACACTAACAACGAAAACAGCCAGCAACAAACCATAGACATTGAATTCAGTCCATCAACAAATATAAATCGCTGAGTCACAAAGTGGTCCTCGTCACGTGACAATTCGCTTGACATCGGAGGACAGTTTTCTGAGTACTCGACACACGCTTTGAGATGCGCTGAGTTTCAATACGTGAATTTCAGGCTAAGAGGATACACACGTTTATGAAGGGCAGGCCCGAATGCACTCGCTTCAGCACCTCCACTCATTACTACTCAGTTATTATGCCCCTTTCAACGTAATGACGATAAAGGTTCCATCATACGCGCCTAGAAAATCGTCATTACACTTCCTGTATTTTTCATTACTCTAACGTCTTAACCACGCCCATTCTTAAGCTCAATACTTAGAATCGGAAATGCTGTGCGTATTTCAACAGTTTGTATTAGGTTGTCTCTAAGTGGAGACGAACGAATGAGCAGACAGGAAGAAAGCAGGAGGGGGGGAGGGAGGGGTGTCTTTAGTATCGGGTCCCTTTCGTATTTTCTCTCATTTACCTGTCCCTCCCCAGTATCCCTCGTCCTTGCAAAATTGCTAATAGGAACTGACTTGGGTCGTTCTGAGGAGAGAACCAAGGGTTCCAACCAATGCAATGCCAGATATGTCGTTTCGTGCAGCAGTTTAATTGGATACAGGATTAAGGAAGCTACATGTGCAGTTTCTGCTCGCTAGAAACTTACTGTAATCCGCGCTTTTAATTTTTTTCTTAAGCATCTCAGCGGGCCGGACTCTTAAATCCTCAAATCTGACAAGCTAATTGCCGGCTCGTAAACGGTCCAGCTTTTTACAATATGGACCATGGTCTGGATTTGTTTTCGCGCCATTCGGAAAAGAAGAAATCAGCTAAAAAAAAAAAGCCAAAGTTATTTACTGGTCTAGGTCAATCCACACGGGAAAAACTGTTCCCTTGGTCTTGAATACGGACTTGGGTCGTAGTCAATACCTCGGCCATTGACCTCACTGAGTATTTTCCCATAAGGAACGACTTAGACCGGTAAATAGCAAATATCTTCAGAATCATTAGGCATCTTAGTTCCTCATAGAAGTGTTCTATTTTGTTAGTTTCTCTTTCTAATTAGTTTCCGTCACCATGAAATTATGTTCATTTCCTTTGTCTAAACGCAGGCTACTAAAGCCTCGAGGCTTATCACCTTAATGACGGATCAGTTCGTCGCCGCTGTTAGTATTTATTTTTCTTTGCACAAAACTAGTTTTATCTAATATTTAAGCTGATAATTTGTGGTCTCCGTCACGTTCATAGCAATTTTACGCTCTGCAAGTTGCGACTCATGATCAACGCCTTCTCAGTCACTCTGCCCTTAAAGCTCAGTTATCGATCTTCAGTAGCTCTCACTACCAGACGTGACCAAAATGGAGTTTCTCCTTGCGATATCAATACACAAGAGAATATTCACTCAGTTTATAATCTCTTGCCACTACATACATTGAGGGTCCCCTATACTTTTTATGTGAGGCGTGATTATGTGATTTTTTCTCGTGAAGCGTGATTGTTATTTTTTTTCTCGTGAATCGTGATTTGACTTTTTTTTATTCGCGAATCGTGATTGAAGATAATAAGATCCTTTCATGTCCACGTAAACGAATATTTTTTTTATTTACATGTAAACGTGACCCGTGAATTAAGAGCTGAATCAAACATGATTCCTGAACCATTTTGTTTTGCGTGATGAATTTCCGGCTATTTTATGGCTTTGAAAATGTACATGTTGTTGTCGAAAGGCTGTGGTTAGGTTTTGACCAGGGTTTTGACAAGAGATGGACTTGATATGGATCAATAAAAGTCGTAAAACAGTCTACTTCTACTTCTTAATAAAGTAAGGCATAACGCCATCTTTTGTCGCGTAAAACTTGTCAAGACTAGAAAAAGTAAAAATATTAATTCAGCGTGATTGCCTCGATTTCCGCGTAAACGTGAAAGAGGCTTGATTATTATTAGTGATGCGTGGAAATGCCAAATATTTTTATGTGACTTAGTTTTACAAAGGGGTATAGGCTTACTATTGGAAACCCTCTACGTTGTTAAGCAAAAGGGTAGTGAGAAAAAAAGAGAGAAAAATCGACTGGGGGATATTTCTGACCCAACACTAGATTCATAGAACCAAAATTATAAGAAATGTATAGCAGATAGTGCAGAGAATGGATATGAGCCTGGGAAGTTGATAAGTCAAAACCATACCCAGACTCCGTGACTGCAGCCGGGCAGTTGTAAGATTTTTTGCCTCTGCAAGCTTCGCCGCAAGCTTACTATACCCCTAGGTTAAAATAACACGATGAAAGGAAAAGGTCTTCTGAAAGTGTTCTTTTTTCGTATATGAGGATTTCCCGTCAATGATTCATGGTCAAGAAATTAAACGAAATGGTTAAGTAGCCAACCCTTTAACTCCCATTAGTGACCAAGAGAGAATTTCTCCTTACAATATCAATACAATATCAAGCAGACAAGTGATGAGAATAGAGAAAAATGTCAATTTTGGGATCATAGTTGATCCAATGTCAAATTCTCCAAACTAACGTCATAAGAGTTGTATGGCAGACATTAAGGAGAATCTCTAACGAGATCTTGGGGGTGAAAGCACTATGAAGACGGTAGTCGACTTAGCGCTATATAAATGCTTGTTATTATAATCGGAGAGAAATCAACTGTCGAATGCTACATTCTAATCAAGCAGCACAGGGCGAAAACCGTAACCTGTGAGCCATGGAGCAAAAAAATAAATGTACATTAACTAATCCTAACTGAGCTTTTCCGTTGTGTATACGGTCCTCCTTCTAACGGGAACTCAAATTGCCACCTTGAAAGTCCGGGCAATATTCAGCGTGCCCGAGAGCACTACCCTCTGCATCTTTCGCAGTACGTCTGTGCTTCTACCTCCCACCAGCTCGCGCATCATGACATCCAGCTCCCGTGACCACCCCCCGAGGGCATCCATAATTATGTTATATTGCTTCACCTCGTAGCCTGGGAACTGCTGCCTTAGTTCCCAGCGAAGGGGTCCATACTTCAGTGTCTTCTCTTCATCCTT